TTCCCCACCTCCACCTTGGCCTTTCTGGCAGTCTGTCTGGCATGTGTCTCTCTGTCTCTGTGCCCGTCTCTCCCTATTTCTCCCTCCCACCCTCCCCCAGGTCTCGATCTCTCCTGTCTCTGCCGCAGGCATGACCTGGCCCCTGGCTGCAGTGGCTGCGGCCGCCCCCACACCCGGTCTCAGGGGCCCAGCCCCTGCAATCGTCCAGCTGACAGCTGACCAAAGACCCTTTCCCCTCAGTTCAACTGGAACGAGATTGGAATTTTTCAACCAAACATTCCTAAGAAATGAGGGCGGGGGCGGGGGCCAGACAACAACAGCAGATGCACACAAACAGGCCCAGAAATGGCACGTACTTGACACAGGTTTCTAACCGTCATAGGGATGCCGGCCCTCGTGGCCAGCACAGCTGGGCGCCCGGCAGGCCCAAGAGGCAGGGGTCGGGGGCAGTCCACTCACAGACACCCGGCAGCGCGGGTCTGTGAGAAAGCCTGGCCATGGCTCCAGGCCCCCAGTCTGCGGCCCTTCCTGTCTCCCAGGATGAAGACGCTCCAGCCCCATCTTAGACCCATTGTTCTGGCTGGAATCTAGGCCAAGGCCACTGTGGAGGAGAAGGAATATTTCCGCCTCTGCTCCCTTGGAAATCTCGAGATCGCAGCCCAGGCAGGTCACCAGGGAACCAGCTGGCCCCCCGCAGCCTGGCCCAGGGCCAGCGTGAGCAGGAGAGGTGCTCGGGCGGGGGACAGGCAGTGGGGGTGGGCGTGGCAGGGTGCGGGGCCCAGCAGGGAGGACAGCAGCCGCCCTAATTAATCCAACTCCCCAGGTTCCGATCTCGTCTGAAAAGGACTCCAGGGACGCAGCCTTTAATAAGTACCAGTAAACAGGCAGGAAAATCGATACCTAGTAAAGAGAGCCCTGGAGAGCAAGACTGGGCGGGCCAGCTCTGGCCCCGCCCGCAGGACCTCCCAGAGTCCTTTGTTGCAGAGCTGGCCAGCGCTGCCCTTTGCCCCTGTCCCACCCCCACGCCCGGAGCCCCATGTGTGCTTTGGCTCCTGCTCCAGCCTCCACTCCCTCTCCAGCAAGACTCCTCTCCCTCTCTTTCCCGCTCCGTCTGAGCCCTGCCCTGTGCCAAGTAGGTTGCCTGTGTCAGTTGCAGATGCCCCCTTGGCGCCAGGCTTTGTGCCCGGTGCCGGTAACACTGATCTGGCCCTTGTCCTGAAAGCCATCCCCCAGTGAGGGAGAGTAAAAATAAAAACAAATAATTGACTGACAGTGTAAGGATAGGCATGCAACAAAAAACCGTGGATGCCAACTATAGCAGCAGCACAGGAAAGCACTGCCCGGAGGAGGTGAACGTGCGCAGGGTTTTGCTGGATGAATAGGAGTTTGCAAAGTGAACAAGGAGGGGAGAGGGCGAATGTGGGTAGCAGACGTAATGACGACAGCCATCTTAGCTAACACTCATCGAGCACTCGCGATAGCCAAGCACTCAGTACTAAGCACCTAGGACATACATTATCTTACTTTGACCCACAGTGGGCGTTACTGCCCCCGTTTTACAAATGCGAACACTGAGGCTATATGTGAAGTCAATCTGTGCATGGCCTGTGAGACTTCTGAGCTGTTTCAACCGCTTACTTCACTCTGCACCTCCCACCCCTGACCCTGCTCTGCCCAGTTCAAGATGGGGCACAGAGAAGGGGTGAAATAGAGCATTTTCCCGTCCCTTCCTCTCCCACCCGGGGGTCACACCTTCCAGGTAACAGCACCTTAACGCTCAGCGGGAGGCTGATGGAGGCATTTCAGGCACACCTGGCCTGTAGATCATCTGTCACAGGCCCTCATGTTGCAGGCAGGGAAACTGAGGCCCTGGGAGGAGCAGCCCAGCACTCAGGAGCCGAGGCAGGAACAGCGCCTGGGGTTTCCCCTCTAACTCATCCCCTCTCGGGCCTGCCCTGGGAGAACGTTGCTGTTGGGGGGCTGGGGGAGGGGGATCGATACGCACACACTTAATTAAAATGATACATTAGGCATCAGAGTGAGGCTGCCCCAGAGGCCCCAGGGAATGTTTCATGTGATTGGCTGAGAGACTACAGAAACCCAGGGCCCGCCCCCGCCCTGTGCCTCTCATATCCACAGCCACAGCTCTGTGCCTCGACTTCCCCAGCTCTCAGGGTCTGGGCAGTGGGCATAGAGCAGAGGACACCCATAGCCCTTTGGACTCTAAACTCTAACAGAGAAGATAAGCTGCTTCAGCCCTGCGTGGGGGCCCAAGGAAGGACCATCGGAGCGTGCGCTCAGGAGGAAGGACCCTGAGCAAGGCGGGGTGGGGGTGGTGGGCCTTAGTGGGTCCCCACCCGCCTGGCTGCAGATTCCTGGGCCCTGCACCCTGGGGGTTGCCAATCGGCAATGGAAACATGGTCGTGAGGCCTGGTGAGTGCCGGGTACTGTGCGAGGCTGGGGAGACAGCCGTGAGCCAAGTGGTCAAGGTCCCTGTCTGGGGGGCTGACAGCCTAGTGGGAGGCGACAGAGAGTAAAGGAGCAGGTCAGCGCGTCATGTCAGGCAGTGCTGAGCACCAGAAGGAAAAATAAAGCAAGGAAAGAGGACAGGGAGGGGAGGGCAGCCGTTCCCGTGGTCTGGGAAGGTCTTTCTAAAGAGGCGACGTTTGAACAGAGACCTGAAAGAAAGGAGGGAGGGAACTATGAGACCGTTGAGGCGTGGCTAGGCCATCGTCCAGGTGCGGGGACAGCGAAGGCAAAGGCCCTGAGGCTGGACAGTGCTTGGGGTGTCTGACGAATGGCAAGGAGGCGGGAGCGGCTGGCGTGCTTGAGTGCGGGGGGGGACTTTATAGGCGAGGTGCACCTCTGTGGCTCACAGCCTGGACTTCGGCTCTTCCTCCAAGTGAGTGGGAACCAACCATGGGAGAATTTGGGGCGGATGATGCATGCGATCTGACTTGCACTGAACAGGACCCCTCTGGCTGCCACGTGGAGCGTAGACTACCGAGGGCGAGGGCAGAAGCGGAGACCAGCCAGAGTCTCCTGCAGTGGTCCAGGCGGGCAACATACAGTGGCTTGGACCAGGTAGAATCGGTGCAGTGGGGAGAGGAAGCAGTCGGATGTGGGATGGATTGGAAGGCAGAGGTGATGGAATTTACTGGTAGACTAGACATGGGGTAGGAGGGAAGAAGTGAAATCCAAATTTGGGGGGAGCCGGGGGGGGCCCAAGCAGCTAGAAGGACAGCGCTTAAAGAAGACTCCAGGAGGGGCAGGTTTGGGGCGGGGAGAGATCAGGGCTCTCCTTGGACCCTGAGCTTGAGGTACCTGTCGAAGCTCCACAGGAAGAATCTGAGGAGACAACCAGACACATGGGTCTGACTCTCGGCGAAGGATGGGACTGGCAATGACAAATCTTGGAATCATCAGAGACAAAAGAGTATCTCTTGATTGATCCTTCTATCAGCCCCACCAGGAAGGCCCGCTCCTGCCCATGTTAGCAAAGAGAAAAGCGAGGTTCCCTGACGCTGTGTCGCCTGACCATAGCCGCAGAGCGGGAGAGTCTGCAGGCGGTCAGGACTTGAAACGAGGCCTGTCTGCCTCCCAGTCCTGTGCCCTGCTGCTCTCCTCTCCAAACCCTCCCAGCAGGTGGGTCGCGAATTAGCATCCCCTTCCTTTTCGAGATGGGACCACCGAGACCCAGGAGGGCTCGAGGGACCTGCCAAAAGCTGAGGAGCGCTCGAGTGTGCGATTGGCCTGCAGGTGTGCCGAATGAGCTCCGCCTGAGAGAGTCCTTCCTCTCGGGCCTCAGGCGCAGAGCAGGCCAAGGGCTCCAAGAGATCCCACCGCCTGGACATGGGGCTATGCGTGCGTGACCCCGTGTTTGCCATGGAGTCCTGCTCTCGGGGGCACCTAGAGCTTTGGGAGCCATGGCGCAGTGGCTGGCAGCAAAGCCTCAGCGCCCTCGGTTTTTAAATGGGGGCACGAATACCCACCTGGCTGGGTTATCGTGTGTTTATCATGTTCTCTTCGGATGGGCGCTCAGCATGGAGTCCTCCGAACAGCAGACAGTGAGCAAATATTTGTTAAAGGAAGGAGCAAATGGACAAGCAGATGGATGAAAAAACGAATAAGTGGACAAAGGAATGGACCAGTGCAGGAATGTCCAAAAGGCATGAGGGGGAAAAAAGAGGAATTGAGTCCAAAACAAGTCAATGTCCGAACTAATGAATTCAGTCATACGTTCAGCACATATCTCTGGAGCGCCAACTGTGTGGAGGTGCTGGGGACACGACAGTGAATGAAACAAAGTCCCTGCTTTGTGGCGGTGACTTTCCAGGGAGAGGAGACAGAAAACAAGATAAATAGGTAAAATAGAAAATATATCAGAGAGAGAAAACAGAGGAAGAAGGAGGGAAGGAAAATGTAGGTGGGGCACACATTTTAAAAGAGGACGGTGGGCAACGAAGGGATGACTGAGCGTGTGGATGAAGGAGCGAGAATAAACGCAGGTCGGGTGAGAGCCTCGTGGCGCCGCGGGCGCGGGTGGCCGCTGACGCGAGAACCACCGAGTGCACTGAGGAGTATATGATGGTGCGGCCCCGGGCGTGACTCAGTGAATGAGCTCTGGAAGAATTGCGCAATGAATGAGCGAACTAGCGAAGGCGTGCGTGCGCCCCGCCCCCCCCCCCAACACTGCATGGATCCTGTCCCCGCCCAGGTGCTGACTCTGCTTGTCCTCCTGGGCTGAACAGTCCCCACACGCCCTACACCGTCCTGCCCCATGGGGCCCGTGATGACCCCTAGTCCAGCGCCTGTCTTGACCCTAAGAGGGTCCATCCTGTCCCCTCCCCCATGCCATGCCCGGCTGTCCTGACACCGCCTTTGTGGACCCTCCATGCCCGCCCCCGCACCGCCCTCACCCCCGCCCCTGTGCTGACCCTCCTGCCCCCTCCCAGCTTCCCCTCACCCTCGGTTCTGACTCCTTCCCCTTGTGAGCGCAGGTACCATGCGGCCAGTGAGGCGCAACTTCTACGACCCGTCGTCGGCGCCGGGCAAGGGCATCGTGTGGGAGTGGGAGAACGACGGCGGCGCCTGGACGGCCTACGACATGGACATCTGCATCACCATCCAGAACGCCTACGAGAAGCAGCACCCGTGGCTCGACCTCTCCTCGCTGGGCTTCTGCTACCTCATCTACTTCAATAGCATGTCGCAGATGAACCGCCAGACGCGCCGGCGCCGCCGACTGCGCCGCCGCCTGGACCTCGCCTACCCGCTCACCGTCGGCTCCATCCCCAAGTCCCAGTCGTGGCCCGTGGGCGCCAACTCCGGCCAGCCCTGCTCCTGCCAGCAGTGCCTGCTGGTCAACAGCACGCGCGCCGCCTCCAACGCCATCCTGGCCTCGCAGCGCCGCAAGGCGCCCCCGGCCGCCCCGCCGCCCCCACCGCCCCCTGGAGGGCCGCCCGGAACGCTTGCCGTGCGCCCCAGCGCCACCTTCGCTGGCGCTGCGCTCTGGGCCGCGCCCACCACGGGCCCCACCGAACCAGCGCAGCCCCCCGGGGTGCCCCCGCGGAGCCCGAGCGCCCCCAGCGGTGCGCCCACCCCGGGCCAGAACAACCTCAACCGGCCAGGACCCCAGCGTGCCACCAGCGTGAGCGCACGTGCCTCCATCCCACCTGGGTAAGAGGGGCCCCTGGCGCAGGGGTGGCGGCCCAACAGGGCTAGGAGCAAAGAATTACAATCATAATAATAATCGTAAGCAATATCTAGCACCTGTTGAGCACGCACTTTGTGTCAAGCATTAACTAGGCGCCATGATGCGTTCCCACTCGTTTATCTCCGTGCAGGAGGGCTCTGCAAGGTAGGTATCACTATCATCCCCAATTTACAGCCGAAGGCACCCATAACTTCCCAGGATCATACCATCCGCAAGTGGTGGGGCTGTAGCAACAGTAATAAGGGTGTGTATTCCATGTTTACTTGCTGAACTTTATCTGAATCATCTTGTTTATGATTTCAAATAACTCTATCATGCCCAAATCGCAGCCAGGGAGGCTGAGGAGGGAAGAGGTGGTACCTTCTGAGAGCCATCCAGGTGGAGAGCAGGGACTGGAACTCAGGGCTCCGGAGTCTGTGCTGTGTTGTCTTCGACTTTTTAGAGGGTTCCCAGCCTCCGCCCCAGTCCCTGCCCAGCTCATGGGGAGGCTCCAGCAGGCACTAGTCACTTGTCCAAAATATTTCCCCTCTACGCTGCGCCTGAGTTGTCGCCACTGCTTTGGGCTAATACTATGGATTTCAAACTGGGCTCCAGGGACTCCTGGGGTGACCTGAGATGGTGGCAGGCCACGGTGCTGGATGAGGAGAAGTCAGCACATGAGAGCTGGCCTCTTTGCTCTTGTTTTAACCAGAGCGGCCCTTTTTGGAATCTCTTTTATGAATTGGCAGGGTTTCCCTGTGGGATTTCATTGAGGAAGGGAAACCCAGGTCCTACCCTGACTGGAAATCCTTGGGTTCAGGCCCCTGAGCCCCAGGATAGGGACCCCAGGAGCCTCTCAGCTGCTTACCTGGACCTGGTCGCTTTCAGCAGAGGGCCAGGCCTGGTGGGAGGGGGCGGAGAATGAGAGGCAGGAGCAAAGACCTTGACCTTGGGACAGGCCAGAAGGGAAAAGACCAGGTGGAGTGTGTGGATCATGATGCCCCAGAGGAGCAGCAGGCAGCAGGCGTCAGCTCTGCGTGTGTTGCCATGGCCTGGCCCGGGGGATTGATCGTGATGACCTCGGACAACCTTTGAAGTCACCTCACGCAGGCCTCCCCTTTCACCAGGGAAACTGAGGCCTTGGGAAGGGAAGTGACCCTCAAAAAGGGAGCCTCTTCTCCCTTGCAGAGCCCGCTGAGGTTCAAATCCCCTCTTGACCACCTCTGAGCTGCAAGATCTGGGGCAAGCCCCTCCCCTTCATCAGGCCTCAGTTTCCTCCTCCGTCCAATGGGAGCAGGACTCCGCATCCAGTGGTGATGCCGTGTACCTGAACGCGCACATACGCATCATGAAAGTTCAGCGGTGACAGTTAGGACTATTTTTGTTATCCAGGAGGAAGGCTGGTATGGGGCCAGGGTGCTCTAACTTTCCACGGGAAGACCAGCAGCTGCCACCGGCCTGCCCCGCCCTTCCCTCCCCCTCCTCGTCACTCCTCAGGGAGGCCCAGTGCCAACAGAGGGGAGACCGCAGGGGTCAGAGGCTGGTGTGGTCATCACGGCTCCTGGCAGACAGCAGCCTGGCTCCGCGGGATGCAGGGACCCAGAGTGACGAGAAGCAGGGGCAGTAACTGGGTGTGTGTAGAGGGGCAGAGCCGGAGAAGTTCCAAGGACCTCCGCAGCCAGAGCCTGGGCACCTGCCTTTGGGGCTGTATGGCGGTCACCGGCCATGGATGATGAAAGCAGGGGGTTGTAACCAGACTTTTCCTGGAAGGGAGCAGGATAGCGTTGAGGAGAAAACACTGGTCTGTATCATTCGTGGTCATGGTGAGACTCGTACTGTGAACCTTTTGCCTCATTTCTGCACGTTCAACGGGTTGCCTGGTGAAATGAATTTCTTAGTCACTGATGAAATCATGAAGCCGCCCAGCTTTCATTTCTCAACATTAACCCCCCAAATTGGTGCTGTGGGTGTGGGTTCACAGAGCGAACAGGGCCAGCGGGGTCCAGACCAATGGGGAGACAGAGACAGAGCGAGCGAGGGAGTAAGTGAACACAGTCACTGGGGAGAGGGGGCGGGGCTGGGGAGGCAGCAGGCCAGGGCGGTGCGGCCGGGAGGGCATGGGCGGTCAGGGCAGACCCTGGAGGGGGCCGCACCTGGAGGTACGCTCTTCCGGCAGGAGGGACGGTGTGCACAACCTCGGTGGGGCTCAAAGGGCATGGCGCGTCAGGGGGGCTCGAGGGGTGAGGGGGGCTGGCGCGTGGCAAGGGGAAGGAGCCCCAGGCCCGGGCACTATACGTGCAAAGGGCGGCGGCGGGAATCAATCCAGCAGGTTCTGGACACCACACAGGGGTAGAGGTTCCCTGCTGGGACACCAGGAGCTGAGATTTCCCCCAAATGCCAGATTGTGGGGCGTCGGGGGAGCCTGGCGCTGCCAGCGGTGGGGAGCTGTAGAGATGCTTGAGCTCAAGAGGACTGTGGGGAGAAGGAAGATGGTTCCCGGGGGGTGCTGGTCATCGAACATGTCCCCTGACGTGCTAGGACTCCATTCTCCCCAGCCCCCGTGTCCCCTGCCCCCCCCCCCATGTCCTTCCCTTCCTCCTTCCCCGGGAGCTGCTTCTGACCCTCTCAGAGACCTGGAAAGGGACAACAGGGACCGACAAGGACGCCCTCATCCCCTGGCCATGCAGCCCCAACCCAGGCGCGCCTCGCCCCCTCACTGCCCTCCCCGGCCCGGCAAGCCTGTCTTGAGGTCCCCCAACCCTCACCTCCGAGGCACGTCAGCTAAAGATACCCCTGGCTGGGGGGTGGCGCGGGGCCCACGAAGTCTGCTGCCGAGTGAAGGGAGGAGGAAGAAGGCAGGATGGGGCGGGCAGACCCTGGCTCCTCCCAGCTGAAGCCTCCGGTTGCCAAGGCAGTGGAGGCCCAGGTGTAGGGGATAGGGATGGGGTCTCCCAGGAGCAGGTAGCCAGGCCTCCCACCCCCACCCTGGTCCCTAACACCCCCAAGAGCCCTCACAGCCCCTCCTACAGTCTCCACTTCCGTGTGTATGGTGTCCAGACTTCCTCTTTATGAGGACACCAGTCATGTAGGCCCGCCCCAGTGACCTCATTATAATCACTTCGGCAGAGACCCTGTCTCCACAGCGTCTGGGGACTGGGCGTTAGGAATGCGACTGACAGAGGTCTGGAGGACGCTCAGCCAGGGACAGAGGCTCTGTAACTCTCTTCATAGCTGAGTCTCGGTCTCTTCAGCCTGTTCTCTCCGCGTCTCCCTGTCTCTGTCCATCTGTCTGCCTGTCTGTCGGGCATCTCTCCCACCTTTTCCCTCTCAGTTCTGCCTCCCTTCCCTGCTCCCTTCTCCCCGCCCTCCCCCTCTCCCTGGCAGGACTCAGACCGGGAGTCCAGTCCTACCGCCATCCTTTCCCAGCTGGGTGCCCTCCAGCGAACAGCTTTCCCTCCCTAGCCTCAGTCTCCCCATCGCCCAAAGGGAGCGGAGTCCCCACCGCTCCCACGTGCATTTAAGCTTGCTGCGCATGATCAGCACGGAAGGGCTCCGATTCCATTCTCACGTCCCATCCTCATCTTCGGCCTGGGTGGGCAACAGCGCGGAGGCCCAGAGCGGCCCCCGACCTGCGCGAGGCCACACAGCCCGCGGGGGCAGTGTGTCTCCCTGCCCGGGTGTTTTTCCACTCGCCCCTGTGGCAGGGCGGGGAGCCAGCTGGCCGCCTGCGCCTGGGGGACACGCAGGGGTGGGGAAGATCCGCCCTATCTCCCGAGAGGGCAGCATCCAGCACTTTGGAACACAGCTGTGGGGCAGACTCAGAGTTTCCATCCCACGTGGTGGCGGGCGGAGGAGGGGCGGCCGCGGGCCGTTTCCCTGGACTGAGCCCTCGCTCTGTCCTCCCAGGCTCCATCTTGTGACTTCGACAAACTGTGGGAGCCCCTCTCAGTTCCCACAGAAACCCAAGAGGGCAGGTCCTACTATCCCCATTTTTCATGGGAGGAAACTGAGGCTCCCGAAGTCCGGCGCTCGCTCGAGGTCACTCAGATTGGAAACCCCCCATCAGTCAGGGTATTGGGCTGCCCCACCCCCTGCCTGCCCACTCAGGTTTCGAGCCGTAGGCCCACAGACACCCTCCAGCCCCTATTCCAGAGGTTTCAGGGACCCTGGCGGAGAGGGGGTCCTGCAGAGGCTGAGCTCGGGCCCTGCTTAAGCCTCTCCTCTCCCCATGTGGCCCCAGCTGAACTCGGTGCCCTCTCTGTTCCTCAGCTTTTGCACCTGTGAAGTGGGGCCGTTGTCCAGTGTGAGGCCAGATGTCAAAGTGGCTGCCTTTCCAAGGCCGCGACCTTTACACCCTGCCCACAGCAGTGGGCGAAGGGCGCTTCCCTCTCCCGCACCGGCGGGCATATCAGGCGTATACTGCGTCGCAACCTCGACCTCGCTGGCGCCATGCAGGTGCCATTTGAGCTTTCATACTGTGGTTCTTCTTGAGCCTGAGAAGCTCTTCCTGCTTACCGCGCCCCGGGGGTCCCTTCTGCTCTCAGTGACTGGTTTGTTTCTCTTGCTCGCCCTTCTTGTGGGCTCTTTGTTGCTTCCTCATTGATCTGCAAGCATTCCTGCAGTTAAGGTGTTGACCCTTTATCCGTGATCTTTTCCCCAGTGTGCTATTTCTTCTTACCTTCTTTCTGCCCTACATTCATCTGTTTTTTTTAATTAATTAATCTATATATCTCGAACAACTTTGTGGACCAGGTGCTCTTCGGGGCCCTGGAGGTAGAACATTGAACAAAACAAACCACCCTTCCCCCTCCCCCCCGAGATCATATGCTAGTGAGAGACAAACAATAGACAAAATAAATTCTAGAACATGGTAGAGTAGGAACTGCCACAGGGTAAGAAAGAAGGAATGTCATTTTAAATAAAGAGGTCAGAAAAGGCCACACGGAGAAGGTGACATTTGAGCAAAGATTGAAGGAAGTTCAGA